TTTGTACAACTCGATTAGGCATGCACCAATCCGATAGATCGGTGATCGAGCGGTTCGCTGCCGATCAGCGAGTCCTAGCTTGGGATTGTTATGTGCCTAAACTAGATATTTAGGATAAAAAACACAATAAACCATTGTTTGGTCTGAGGACCGGCTTTTAGAGATTCGACTCCAACATAAATATTTTAGGAAATTAAATTTCCAACATTTCATATTCGAAACTTAAGTCTAAGAAAGTTTTCATCATTGGTGAGAAACGCTATTTAATTATTTATTTTTAATTTTCTAAAGTTCTATTTTTATTATAACAAGAAAGAGAACGAGAAATGTTTATGTATTGGTGTAAGCTCGTGTGTACAATGTTGGTTATAGAAGACCATACTGATCTCTAGGCTCCGAGTTTGAATATCTGCACGTGCTCTGTTTCTTTTTTTCTTGTTTTTTCATCTCCCTTTATTTCTCATTACATCCCATTATGTATTAAGCGGTTCAAATGAATCGTACGATTAATCGCTAGATGCATCTTGTTCATATTGCTTTTTAACAATCATAATTTCTTACTAGATGCATAGGTATTGTATCGTGTAAATAGGTCAAACTCGATATTTTTTACTCTTTTATCTAGGTATTTTTGCTGGAGAATCGACGATACTCAGCGAGTGTATCTAAATTTTTTCTTTTACGTTTTCGCGCTTGAGGAGGCATTCTCAAAACGACCAGTCTTACGTAACTTGAAGAAACTTTGAAAAATATCCAAGAAATCAGTGTTGGTTATATAGTATGTGGTTCTGCGAAATAAAACGGCATCTCGCTTTAGTAAGAATTGCATAAGGAAGTGATAAGAGCGTCTTATCAAAGTCACAGCTCATTCTTATTTAAATCTCACCTGATTCTTATCGGATTTGTACGAAATTCTTGCCATTTTCGTGCGGACACCTTATGTAAAAATCCTTTAAGACTTGGATAAGATTCTTACCAGACATAAAAAAGAAATGTTGATCTAGGGGAGTCTCTGATTTTCTTTCGTTTTTTTTCAGCCCTATGCATGTAACGATACACATTTGCTAATAGCAGAACAACAATAAGAAGAAATTCGTGTAAGTAGTTTAGCCATTACAGAAAAGAAAAAAGATTCTCCATTCGTGTAAGTAGTAAATAATTTCTCAAGAATAACTCATACACGGTTGAATCTCAAGAGCTATTGCGTGTTTGTGATACGATATCTAATTCGCAGATATACTGATGTGTACTAAACCAATTCCACTAATTCTTTACTCGTTCACTGTTAGACAGTTTTCCTACTTATGATGGAAAGCCGGTTTAACCTTAATTTATCCTTAATCGACTACGATTGTCTCTTATTCAGATACCGAGATGTACCTGAATGCGTACCGATTTAGTGAATAAAGTCTTTACTTTCTTCTGAGTTGTCAAGCTCACAGAACATAATACATTAAGATACTTAGTAGTAAAGTGTGCAATCTTTCAAAATAGAAAGGCCATACAATTTTTCACATCATAGTTGCTTTTCAAATCTGTTTTATTAAGATCCGGCACCGAATCGATCTTTTTCGCGATGCAATTCACACATTAGCCGGTTTTAGGAAGCCTACAAAAACATAGATTTGAGGCTTGTTTGAACCCTCAGAGAACAGTTTCCAAGTAAAATCCCTAGAAGTTTTCTGACAGGATCTCGAGACATATCCTACTAGAATTTCGCTTAACTTCTTAGGATCCGAACAAAATCCTACAGAATCTTAATAAAATTAGGTATAGCCGAAAGTCATAGGATTTTCTAAGATTCTGTTGGGATTCTCCTAGAAAGTTATTAGGTGGATCTTAAATGTTCGGATCCTGTAAGATCCTAGTAGGAAATAGGCAGAAAATGCGTAGGATTTTGTCTGGGGTTAGTGCACTTCAGTCAATGTTTCTGTAAACTATAGAGGGAACATATTTGGGTGTCAAATCATTGTCTCGATGAGAGCAGTCTTTGTGGAGCAGTCTTTGACACTGAATCTGATAGGTATTTCTACCTATATACCTTTATAACCCGATTTTCAACAGTGTTATCGAGGCCAAAATTCTTTTTTTTATCCGGTATAATCCTTTTATATGGTGAGCAAACATTTGAATGTACATCGCACTAGTTCAACAGCAGCTAATAAAATTAATTCGACCATGATTTTATTCAATACAGGCGTCAGACTGAATCTGCTCTCTTAGTTTATACTAGTTCATTTTCTTTTGGTGGAAGCATTCAAAATACAAACGACTACACAAAATCATACTTTTATTAACTGTGCTGAAAACTCTTCTCATTTTGGGTGTGAAAAGGGAAGTGTGTTCTTAAAGAAAAATGGACTTAGATTGACGAATTTTTACGATAATTCATCTTGACGGAAGGAAAAACTGGCAAATAGGGATGTTCGATTCTCAATAAGAACCAGGACCACGGTTTTTCAGACGCGTCCTTTTTTCGGAATCACCACTCTTTTAACCACATATGTTATAGTTTATCTTTTAAAAAGATAGAGAATCCTATTGCATCGTTTTTCATGTTTCTTCTGTTATGTAAGTGATTTCCAGTGACTACATACTTTGAATCATTCTCAGTTGTACTTGAACTATCTTTACTACTTGTTCCTTTAACTTTTTTCGATCTTTTTATTAATGCAGCAGATTTTAAGCCAGTAGCTCCTCTTTTCCTAGCAGACATAACACTGAGATATTTACTTTTTACTACGTTCTGTTAAAGAAATATGATAAATTAATCAACGATTCAAAAAAGATAGAGATGTTTTATTGGAGATAGCGAACTGTTTACTTCATAGTTAGTCTGATCTTAAAACTGTTAAGATCAAACGATAGAAAAATACAACATTGAATGAAAAAGAACGAGTGTGAGCGAACAATCAAATTTGTATTTCTTTATCGTGTGCAAAAAACGGTGAAACAATAATTCGTTCTTTTCTCTTTTGCCTTATCTTGCCTTTCATTTAGCAATTGAAAATATACTATTGACAAAGCTATAAAAAGATATATTTGCCTGTCATCATGTAAAAGAATCCTTTCGTTTTCTATAAAATGAAATCTAATGAAATTGTTACGGTCTGAAAAATTCTTTTCAGATGCTATGTTGAGAACTGAGAACCGCGGTTCTGTTCTAAGTTCGGAATCGACATTTCGGCCCGTTTCGCTTCGGTTCTAACCAGAAAACGGGAATCGAGAACCGAACATTGCTACTCGCAAGACTATAGGCTACCGACTCTATGTCTCTGTGGCATTGCATTGGTGTTGCAAAAAATTCCTCGCTTATTCAAGAATGCAGATATTTGTCTTTATAGAAAATGAAAATTCAAGACATTAAACAGTATTTGGCTCAAATGCTAGCAGAATTCTTTGCTACTTTTTTATTGATTTTGATTGGGAACGGAAGCGTTGCACAATTTAAATTTACTGGACCACCAGGACAATCGCATCTAGCAGTGCAACTAACATGGGGCGTCGGTGTTTATACGGCTCTCATGGTAGCTGGACCAATTTCAGGTACATACTCCTTTTCACATCATCCACACACAGTCAGTGTTGATTATTTTGTTAGGCGCTCATTTAAATCCAGCTGTTAGTATTAGTTTGTGTACACTGCAGAAACTGAAGGTATTGCAGTGCAGCCTATATGTAATCGGACAAATTTTGGGAGCCTTCATGGGTTCACTTTTGGTATTTGTTGTTTATATTAATTTATTCAGCCAGTATGATGGTGGAATAAGACAGATCAGTGGTGCAAATGGAACAGCTGATATATTTGTTACGTTTCCATACAATGACGAACTGCCAAACTGGAACTGTTTAATTGATCAAATAGTTGCAACATGTTTTCTGATGATATTTATTATGGCACTAGGAAACGACTATAACCATTTGGTATCGCAACCAGCTAAACCTTTTGCATTTGTGCTATTAGTCACGGCTTTGGGATCGGGATTGGGATTGAACTGTGGAAACCCGGTACGTTAATTATAGTCTTTAGGCGAAAAAGAACTGTCCGAAATTCTGTAAAATTCCCATGTAAGATATAAAAATAATGCCTGAAATATTATTCACAATAGGCGTGTTACATCTAGGCATTCACCAGTTTTGGTAAACCGACACCGATCATAACCGAAACTGAACATAACCGAAAATGTTGCACAAGTTCTTGAAAATACGTTTGACACAATATGAAGGAAGCACCTGTTGTTCAATCAGCAACTGTTCATCCCGGAAGAAAGATGTACGGAGTAAAAAATCAGAAATAAGTCAAATAAGTGGTATTTATTCCACCGTGAAGACAGAGTTTCCCAAAATTGAGTTTAGCAACAAAAGTGTGGCAAATTTAATTTCCTAGATTTTATTCGCTGGATGCACTTGTATACAGATCAATCTCCACGATGAAAACTGATATTAACTGCTTTTCATCGTGGAGA